AATGAGCATACTTCTGTCTCGTTCCGACATGGAGGCATCCCGTGGGGTTGAGAAGTCAACCGCTCTATGCAGCAGTTCCCAGAACCAACAAGCGGAGAGACGGCACAGTGCAAAACCAGAGAAAGTAGCCAGCAGCATTCTTTGTTGTGGAGCCTGTGCTCATACCGTCAACCCGAATACATCGTACTCGATTTCACGCATGCAGCATTGGCACTGCAGTATCACTCCTCCTTTGCTGCTGCTGCTGCTGTGTTGTTCGTGATTGAGGCCACTGTACCTGCTGTACGCCCAGAGAGCTGATAAATATAAAGTTTACCCTCCTATCTTGCCATCAGGACTTCATTTTTGGCGAAAAGCGACCTTGCTCGACATTTTCACGCATTGCACCGGCAATAGGTGGTTTTGCTGTGTTGCTTACCTTTGGAGACTTCCCTCTAGGGTTGCCTAGGCGTTTGTCCCTCTTCTTCGCGGTATGGAGGGCCAGCGCGTGGCGGGCAATTGTTTTCACCTAACGTTTTGTGCGTCCCACGCACTCTCACGTGGTAGGATCGTTTACTCATCAACGTTTGTGCGTCCCCACGCACTCACCTGGTATACGTGCGCCTACACCGGGCCCGTTGAGACAAGCAGGCTGATTGGCCGACGCAAGTGCGCAGTGTTTGACAACAAACAGGCCAGGGTAGACGAGAATCGACCGCTGCAAGCATGCCTTGGTGCAGTTCATCAGGAATGAACGTTTGATTCTCGAAAGGCTAGCCCCGGGCCTCGCCGCACCTAAGAAGCTGTGCGACTGTTGACGCCGAGAGCCGCGGTTCGTGGATCTCGATGTCCCGAACCTGGCTGAAGAAAGCCCACGAAACGGACGTTTTTGTCAGCTGGTCTACATGTGACGCTCCATCTTGCGTGTCGCTGTCGTGTTTCCCACGACGGCCCTTTCGAACCTCTTGCCTGGTTGGCTCTTGGCACTGTACCCCGGTGAACAAGAAATGGTTTGTAACGGGAAGTGTCTTGCAGTTACGTTCGCTTAATGCTCCTGATTTTTCAAAACAGTTTGCTGCCTTGTGTGTCCCCCACCATGCCGATGGACAATTTTACATCCGCCGTTAAGTTGAGCCTGTCTCTGTCCCCTCCCCTGCAATTTCCAGGCCAGCGACGAGGTCGAGCAACGCTCCCCAGTGGCCGGGAGCCTTCTCCGAGCACTAACGGGGCCCTATGTTTCGCTCGGAGTTGGCGTTGGCATTCTGTTGGCCGTTCTGGCCAATCGAATCGCCACTCCGGAGCTGGTCGATTCACAAGCTCGCACGGATATCCTCGGGGTGATAGCGAGCGGGGGATTGGTCACGAACGGTGTTTACCTCTTGGTGGGTGTGAAAAGCAATTATTACCCTTTCGTGCCCGGCGATTGACTCCTGAGGCAGCGCGGCCACGAGAAAGAGTTATAGCTAGGAGGTGTCCAAGCTCTCGTCGTCCTTTTGTATAAGAGATTCCTTTTCGTTCAAGCTTCACACGCTAGGGTGAAGTACAGATGTCTTCGCAGCGTAGGCAAGAACTCAACTCCACGCTTTCACCGTATTTGTTGAAGACACGAGCATGCTGTGCGTGTCTTACATATCGGCTCATGCAAGGACGCACTCGGTGCCTTGGTTGTGTCTTGGTTTTGTTGGTACCCCTGGCGTGTAGTGCCTACGTGCGATCATTAGAACAGTGGTACTAGCCACCATCCCGACGGAGAACGTGAAACTCGCGCTTGCGATCTATTTTATTATAGAAGGTCGACGTTGATTTCTTCAACATGCATGAGTGCCCGAGTATCATAGTACTCTGGCTGCAGTCACAATCCATGATGATTGTTTCGTATTCCATGTCGTTCGTCCGACAGGATTTGAAGGTGAAGGAGGCGGAAGAAGTGACGTTGGTGGGCACGTTCGTGCAGGAGTACGCCGACGATCTCGCTCCCGGCGCTAGGCGAGATTTGCAGTGGCTTGGCGAGTCTTTGTTGTTGGTGAGTGCATTGAGCCGTTGCTGGCTGGTCGGGCGGCGACTGATCCTTCCTCCTGCGGAACGCGTCGCCGGTGTGCTTCGCGTTAGCGGCATTCCCTATGAACGGTAGCCTGATAGTTCTCGTTGTATGGCATTGTGTAGCGCCACACCACCATTGGTGTATCAGATTGATTTGGGCTCCTCCCATGCTACCCAGCCCCGTGGCATAGGAAAGGGCACCCCCTTCCCCCTTTGCCCCCCCCCCCCGTGTTTGCCATCGGGGTTGGGTTCTCGT